AGCCAGGATGGTCTCGATCTCCTGACCTCGTGATCCGCCCGCCTCGGCCTCCCAAAGTGCTGGGATTACAGGCTTGAGCCACCGCGCCCGGCCTACTTTCTCTTTTTGAACTCCTACTCACCCCGCAACGCCCCAGACCTTGGAAGGTCTCTTCCTCTTAAGAAATCTTCGTTTCAGGATCCCTCCACTCCCAAGTCTTCCCCACTGCCCAGCCCTGACCACAGAGAGCTGCCTGTGACTGACCACAGAGGATCTGCCTCTGGTTTTGAGGTCAAGGCCCTGGGAAATGGGGTCTGCCTCATTCAGAGGTGTGTCTGGCAGACACCATTCAGGACTTACAGGCTCGCTTTTCTGAAGCACAGCAAGCACAAAGAGGACATAGCGGTGGCCAGGCTCAAGGCCCCGGTTATCAAAGCCGCCATACTGCTTCTGGTCGCCGGGGTGGAAGGTGGGTGGCAGCACAGAGAAGCGAGCTGCGATATAGGGCCGGGGCACCTCCAGCTGACGCGAGTGCCGCAAGCTGCGCCTCTGTAGCCGTGAGATGTCCTGGATGAGCTGCAGGAACAGAGTCATGGGTGGCTCAGAGCTCAGCTGGGAGCAACAGAGCACGTGAAAGCTGGGACATATCTGGGCCCTGCAGGTTTGGCCCCAGACCCTCACCTCCTCCAGATCCATGTCCTCCGGGCTACCCAGCGGGGTCAGGAATTGGCCTCCGCGAGACTTGCGCAGTGGCACCATCACAATGAAATAGCTCCTGTAGGGAGAAGGGTAAGAGTCAAAGGGGGCCGTCAATAGGGATGACCAAGGGATGCTACATGGGGGCAAATGGGGGAGGCCGTTTCTCTGAGTCTTCCCTTCTGTTCATACAATAAGCCTGTTCCCCTGTGCCCCATCCACAAATGCCACAGTTGCTGACTCAGGCCTCCAGGCCTTGGATCACGCTGTACTTTCTGCCTAGAAGGCTTACTTCATGTAATTCTCATTATTGAACTCCTATACATCCTTCAAAGCCCCAGCTTCAATGCCCACATAGCCTTGTAGCCCTTAAATCTTCTCTGCCTCTGAGGCAGAGTGCTCCTTTCCCCACTGGGGACTCTCAGCTTTGCGTCCCCACCAGTTGGGAAGCCCAGAACCAAATCCTTTCAGGGACCCTAGTATTACCCAGTGGAGGGTCAGGAATATGGGATATCAGGAAATGCTGGAAGAGCAGACACAGGGCACATTTAGTGACAATGGCTCATGAGAAGCACTGAATCTTGGACGACCCCATGAACTGGGGCTGATAGGGTCCGTGTTTCATAGGCAAGGAAACTGAGGCACAGAGAGGGCACGTGGCTTGCCCTAGCCACATAGCAGGCTGATAGGGGTGACAAGGAACCCAGAGTATGGGCGTGAACATACTGGACAGGCACGGGGCTCTGGCCGTCAGGAAGATACACCATGATGAAGCCATCGGCGTCGGGCTTGGGGGCAACACTGGGCTTGCCGTTGAGCAGGTTGAAGGCGGTCCATGCGGTGACTGTCTGCTGGAGGCCACCCAGGCTGCTGCCGCGATTGGTCAGCACAAAGTTATAGAAGGTGTGGGGCTTGAGGTGTGTGATGAGCTTCTTGGTGGTGCGGCCATCCACATCCAGTGTGAGCCCGTTGTACTGGATCTGTGGACCAGGGCTAGCTCAGCAGGGTCTGGTGGGCTCAACACCTGCCCATGGATTGAGCCCCAGCTCCAGGCTGAGTCCCCCACCCTGACTGAGCCCTGATCCCACTGAACCCTGACCCTAGGCAGAAATCCAACATTGACTGATCCCTGATCCCAGGCTGAGTCCCCAACTCTGACTGAGCCCCAACCTCACTGAACCCTGACCCCAGATTGTGCCTAAATTCCAGCTGAGCCCTGACCCTAGGTGGAAAACCACTTTGACTGAGCCCTGATCCCACGCTGAATCCCCAGTCCTGACTGAGCCCCAATCCCAATGAACCCTGAACCCAGACTAATCCTGAATTCCAGCTCAGCCCCGACCCTAGGTGGAAACCTACCTCTGAGATCTGATCCTAGACCAATTCCTGATCTCAGACTGAATCTCAATCCCAGGCTGACCTCCGATCCCAGACTTGGCACCAACTTCAGACTAAACTCCGACCTCAGGCTAAGTACCAACTCTGAGTCCCAATCTTGACTATGCTTCAGTCCCAGCTGAGCCATGATCTAAGGCTGAGCCCCAACTCTGATTTCCAATATGGACCAAATCTTAATCCCAGACTGAACCTCAGTCCCAGCTAAGCCACAATCCAAGGTTGAGCCCAACACTGATCCCCAATATTGACTGAACCCCAATTCCAGCTGACCTCAATTCCAGCTGGGTCCCAAGTCTGATTCCCAGTATTGACTAAGCCTCCATCCTAGCTGAGACCCATCTCTGACTGAGCCCTGATCCCTGACTTCACACCAACTCCAAACTGAGCCTTAACCCCTGCCGAACTACAACCCCTGACCCTGCCTGCCTGCCTGCCTATCTGCCTATCTGCCTGCTGGCTGGGCAGTCGCACCTTGTACGGCGTGGGCGAGTTGTAGTTGTCAGGGAACTCCCAGCTGAGCAGAACCGATGTCTTCATGATCATTTTCACCTTGAAGTTCTTGGGCGAGACTGCCAGGGAGGTGGCCGAGCAGGGAGAGAGCAGAAGAGAGGCCCCGTGAGTGCCTGGCACCAGGCGGCATGAATCGGGGTGGGGTGGGGCGGCCCAGGCGCTCCCTGTCGTCCGCTGTGCCCATGCCCACGGCCTTCCTGCCTGGCCCTGGCCCGGCCCTGCCC